GATCAGATGATCCATTTCCATGGAGAACGAAAGCTTTTGATTGATTGTCAAAAATGCCAAGCAAATGGCAGCAAATTGGTTTTTTTGAAGAAGAAAATGGAAATGAAGATGGAGATGGAGAGTATGAAGTATGCATGCATTTATAGGGAGGTGAAGGTGAAAAGACAGAACGTGATGTGCATTTATAAGGGGTGAAGGTGAAAAGACGGAATATGAGCAGATATATTCGTGTCTAGTAAATGGGATTAAACGGCCCAAAATCGGGCAGAAATATCAAAAGAAAATGTGCAAAAAAATTTAGCATAAAACAGTTAAGTGCCTGAGCGATTGATGATTAAAAGACGAACGTCAATAAATACACAAGAAGCTAAAATAGTTATTCATCGACAATGACGGCTGCTGTTATATCAGTACAAGGTTACAAAGGGAAAGTCAAACGCGAAATTACAAAAAGAAAAGTTAAGGCATTATATGTCTTAATTACAATCCGCCCCATACTGAACGAATTCTTTCCCTAAGGTTCCCCGATCCTCGTTCTGCCGAGAAGAAGTGATGTTCAATTCAGCCACAACATCATCATCAACTTCTAACTTCTTCTACTGCTCGACCAAAGACTTAGTTCGCTCAATTCCTTGGGAGGCATTATGCTTTTTAGCAGTCATTCTAGCCTTGCAGTCGTCCATCTTGGCTTGAAGCTCCTTCATCTGAGCAGCCAAGCTAGTCATCAAAGAATCTTCAATCATGACTTCGGAAGAGATTTCTTTCAACTCGTCCTCAGCTTTGTTGATCTCAAGAAGCAAAGACTCTTTTTCAGATACGGCGCGAAGATATTGAGTACTTTTGGCCTTCAGTTCAACATTCTTGGCCAGGAAAGAGAGGACCTCAGAATGGATAACTTTTAACGTCGCTTTAAAATCAGCAGAAAGATTGAGCGACGAAAGTGTCAGTGCTTGCTCCAATTGTGCATTCAAATGCTCAAGCTTATCCTTATGCCTGGCAGCACTAGCCTTACCGATGTCCGTGTCCATGAAGGACATGTACTCAAATATCGACTGCTTGAGGAACTTCGTATCGTCCTCTGAAGAAGCAGAAGGACAACTAGCCGAAGTAGGGCGAGATGTTTTGACTTGCCCCTAGGCAGCAAACAAGTCTTGAATGGAACACACAATTTTATCAGCATCCTGTAAAGAAAATCGCCGATATTGAAGATTTCCACTACACAAAACAAAGTGGAGCTAAAGGTGAAGCAAAGATTACCTCATCAGCAATCTTGGAAGATGGCATATCCCCAACCAAATCTGCCATCTGTGGCTCCACCATTCGTGAGGACTTCTCCTTGTTTAAACGAGAAGACCTTGCCGCAACGAGCAAACTCATGGGAACATCTGCAGAACTCAAAAGGCAACAAATCAACACCAACAGCACAAGCAAAGGTAAAGCATCAAAAAATGAATTACCTTCTGTTTCAACGTTTGGGGGGTCAACGCCCTGGGAAGAAGGTGGCTCGTCCATTGGTTGTGATGAAGATTTTGGGACTGAAGGTTTCTCTTTAAGCGTAGCCCCTTCATCAATAGGTTTGGACGAATCAGCCTCAGCAGAAGATGATGGAGCAGAAGCTGCCAACACCAAAGCCTTCAAGGGAGAGGTTGAACTTTTCTGAGAGGTCCAAATAAACTATCAACACATGGAAAAGCCTCAAGTATAGAAAGGTATGCTTATGAGTAAACCGATTTAATTACCTTTCTCCTGACGATGAGAGGGGTATCATCATCATCATCAGCATCATCCTCCAAATGGGAGACGTTGAGGCTGGCCGTTTGTGGCTTGGGGCACTTTTAGCTGCAGTGGGCTTGGCAGGAAGAGAAGTCAATGGACGGGTAGATTGTTTAGCACGAGTAGAGGAAGAGAGACTCCTAATGGACACAGGAGTGACCAAAACAGGAGAGGTGGAAGAAATGTTTGTCTGGTCTAGTGAATGGAAAGCACGATTGGCATCAGTCGCAAACAATCTGCGTTTCACTGACGGCCAGAGTCGTTCAAAAAGGGGATGGATGGCATGACTATGATTGAAGGGGGCTAATGAAAAGTTGCTCGTCAAAAGAAGATTGCGAGTATTTATAACCTCTGCCTCCGTCTTATTAATAGTATGGAAGCGGTCTATCAAATTCCTTGAATAGCAAGGAGGAACGGGCCAAGTTTGGCCAAAACCAAGTTGACGAGCAAAGAATTGAGGAGCATATATCTTTACCTCAGCCTTAGCATTAGTCCCAGTCAAGATATCATGGAACAACTCCCCCCGGTCAAAAACTGAATCCAAATAAACAAGGAAGTGTTCGCATTATCCAGAGTGGATGGGGGTTGCACATAATCTGTAGTCAAAAAGGAAGGAAAATGAAAGAAGGACGGGATTGAATCCAAAGTATAAAAGAATGAAAAAATATCCCTTCTGGACATATTTACAGGAGTCAAGGGCTCAATGGCTAACCCGTAGCAGCTAGTAGAAGGGCTGGAAAAAGATGGAGCACCAAGCGATGGAAAATAAACTCTCAACCACATTTGAGCGAACCAAAGAGGCCCACTACCAGTGGGAGATGCACCATTCTTTAATTGGGATTGAAGAGAAGTCATGCCTCTATAGAGGGCAGCTAAAAAGAAAGAACATAAATTCAAAGGTCTACCACGCGCCAATTCGTGCGCTATGGGTAAATAACTCGGGGAGGGCTTTATACTTGGCACACACAAAATGTATTTACAAAGCCAAATCAAAGGAAAGGCCACTCACTCAGTATGGGAAAGCTCAGCACTCGAGTGGTTATGAAAGGTTTGCAGGCTTGAATAAGACTCGGTGAGGCCTTTACCAAAATTTGGGGCGCCACCAGAAATCAAAATACCAGGAAAAATGGTATCGCCCAAAGGTGGCAGATTTACTAGGGCCCCAACATCCCTTAAGGTAATGGACATAGGACCAAGAGGAAAAACAAAAGTATTATACTCAGAAGATCAAAAACTTAAAGCGATTGGAAAAAGTACTGGGTTAAAAATAGGGGGTTGAAGAGAGATTTCTAACAAATCAGAAATCCTAGCATTATCGAAAATTGCCTTAGTAAGATCATCGTCCACAAGGCGAGCATGCCATCTAAGAAAAACGACATCAGATTTAGGCCAAGTGCGAATACCTCTTTCGCGAAGTGGCCCTAACGGCAAAGAATTTAGAAACGGAGGGCCCTGAGTACAAGGGAACAGCTGACCGACCGCCGCTTGTTCGATGGCCTCGGCATTGTTGAATGAAGGACCTAGATAGAACTCATTGAGTTCGATACTGGCCGGTGCAAGAAAGTTCAGAATTACATATAGCCGAGTAAGGAGTTTCTGAAAGTCTTCGAAACTGAAGGAATCACTAGACTGAGATTGAGAAGCAGCCATTAGGGATGAAATAGAGTTTTACAGAGTTACGTAGCAGAGAAGCAAGGAGATGAACAGTAATATTGCAAGAGAGGCGCGAAAAAATGAGGCGTGATTTAGTAGTGCAATGAAATAGCGTATTTGGGGGTTATAAGGGTTTGCAAACGTCGCACCTTTTCAGGCTATGGAAGAAAATAATGATTGAAATTCTTGGAAATCTCGAATGTTGCTGGGAAACACAAAGTGAATATGGCAAAAATTAATAATTTGTATTAATTCTGCTATATTGGGGGGTAATTGTTAACATACAAAAAGTTCAGCCCAAGTTGAATAGCTCAAGGAATGAAGTCCAACGGGAAAATTCCCAAAATCAAATAGCCCAAAGAACGACCTAGTCGGGCAATGCAGGATAAAGGCCCAAATAAGGAAGCCCATGAACGCGGAAATACCATCGCCCAGGGTTGCAAGTCGCCCCAGATTTGAGCGAATGAATTGTCATGCAGTCGCCCAGAGCTGTGACTTTGCTCTCGTCCAAACATTCAAGTCGCCCAACATCTTAGCAAATATAAGAAGTTATGGTTACCCAAAAATGCAGTTATTGGGTAGTCCTATCACGTTCCACGATTCAAGGAATTCAATTGAAGACGGTTGAACGACAAAAGTAATGGCAGCAGTTAAAGAAGGCAGTTCCATGACAAGTTGGCCACTACAAGGGAAGTGGGCAATTATAGAGCAATCAAGCAGTTTCTTAAGCGGTTGATCACGAAGAAATTATCCAGGGAGTATAAAAGGAAGAAAAGACAGAGAGCAGAATGACCCCCGAATCAAACACTCTCAAATAGAGAATATGTAACTTTCAATGATTTAAATACTTCTTTTACAGTAATTCGTGTGCTTGCGCCCCTTGAAGGCATTCTGTTTTTTTACTTTCCAATTGTAAAGTCATCGCCAATAAAAATGTCCCTTTTTGGGACTTTGTCTCAAAAGGTTTGTCCCTTACACAATCGTCTGATCCTTTTTTAATTGTTAGCGACTAACCCGTGCGAAACACTTATTTTATGAATTATGCAACTATGGGTTGTATGATTATTGTAGGTGAGATAACTGTAAGAAATTAGATAGAGGTTTTTTTGTGCTCGTGTGGTTGAATTAATGATTCTATATTACTATTATTACTGTGTTGTTAGTAAAAAAACTAACTTGTAAAATTATATTTTGGAAAGAAAAATAAGCTTAAAGAGATCTTCTAGCCTTCCCAGTTTCAATTTTGGCTTTCTCGAGTTTGACTTCTTGGCCATGACAAACTTGGAATACAAATGGGATTGATGCTTTGATTCAATTTACTTGACAGTCATTTCCTATATATGCTTGAGGCCTTATTTGTCTTAATTTGACCCTAGTCATACTAGCTTTCCAAGCTAATCCTTCAAAACTTTTCTGATTTTTTCTTCCTTTATTTACGTAAATATCACTGGACTTCCACCACTTGGATAACACTTGTGCAAAATGCTCTAGGAAATTGGTGTTTGGATAAATGTTGGTTCAAATTTTGATCATTTACATGTACTCTTGCCTAATGTGCCTTACTTGTATGGCAGATTGTAAGGAAGATTCGGACTTCATAGATTCCGACCACGACTTTGAGTCTGAACAAGACGACGTGCTAAGCTGTTGACATCGGCAAACACATATCCCTCGGGGAATACCCCACATCCACAATAAATTACGTATTTCTGACTTTGGTGATTTTTTTTTTTAGGAAATGAAAACTGAGTGGAACTTATACTGTTATTGACGTTTTGGATGGCCATTTTGCTGATGATGACAAATCCCTGGAAATGGCATTTCTTCATCTACATCAGGAGTCTGACAAAGAAAAGTGTTGAATAAAGGTCATTTTGTGCCTAAATCAGGTATATAACCTGTCAGATTATATTTTCATTGCTTTTAGTAGGTTGGTTTATGTTGTACCTTATTCCTTTTAATTGAAATATTCATGCTATTAAAGTGACTGCTCGAGCTCTTGAGACCAATGTGACTTCCACTGTCCATTGGGTTATTTATGAAAAGAATTACTACTGCAATTAGTACGTGGTTAGAAAGGATGATTTAATCCATTTTGTAGTATGAGATATGGCTGTGGCTTTTGTAATAAAACTAAAAATCTTATTTTTGTAAATTGAAGTTTTATTTTGTAATGTCCAAAATCAGCTTTTTTAGTTCCTTTGGCACTTCATTGCAACTTCCATCCTGGACTCCTCCTTGCCTAGCCCAAAAAATAGAGTAAATGGAAAATTACTTATTCTCTGATAATGATTCTCATCCCCGACTCTTGAGCTGTTGCTAATAGTCTATTAATGCAAAATATAGGTTAAAGATAACTAAATTTCCGCCTTAGAACAACAATGCTAGAGGTAGGAATTTAAAAGGTGTCTTATGTTGACAAAAAAATCGATAAGAATAGAACATAGACTAAACTCAGAATTAGCAGAGCAATAAAAAACAGAGTTGTGTGTATTAAATTGAGAGAGCTAAATCCATGGCTAGCATAATGACTCCTCTAAAAAACAGAAAATCATTGCAAGAATTTCTCACACTAATATTATACAAGGTTAAATTCTACAACTAGGAACTTTATAAAAAATGCTTACGACGATGTAATTAAAAAAGGACTTGACGAATACAACATTGGGACAACTTGACGAATACAATAACATTGTTTAAATCAACAACATAGGTGGTCAAATTTCGTGGAGCTCTTCCCTTTTGTTTCTCATTTTCTTCTACATGAGCTTTACCCTTGCGGATAGTAACTTTGAATGATATTTCCACTTCCTCTTCTTCAATTATGTGAACCAAATCCTTGAATGCAAGGGACAAATCCTTGTGCGCCTTGTCAAAAGCAAATGACAAACAGGATTAAACTTAATATATATAAAATTGTTTCTAGGGATCTTTTGGGTAACCTGCTCCAATTTAAGCTCATTAGTTCCACCATGAACCTATGATTAAAATTGAATTTTTCAGTGCTTTTGTATTTCTTCCACAAAACTTTTGTGCTTAGATTACTATATATTTTGTTCTTAGTCATTCAAAAAAATATATAAAATATCGCAGTAGAAATGCCAATGAAAAAGGCAAAGATTGCCACCCCAGTTACTTACTCAACCACAAATTCTTCGGATGAATGTAGCTTGCACCAAGGAGTTAGATTTCTTCCCTGTTTTTGTAGTTAGGGTTTTGAGTGTCTAGATTGAGGGATTTGGGGATGGAGCTTCAACAGTTGATTTGGGATTTCTTGTGTTGTGGAATGAGAGATTTGGGGATGGAGCTTCAACAGTTGATTTGGGTTTCTTGGTTTCACGTTTTGGTTTGTGTATGGGAAGAAAGGCATTTAAGAGTTAAAAATTTGGTAAAGGCCTGTTTGGCTATGTGACGTGGCACTGATATGTCGAAACATTTAACATTTGGAAAGAGATAGTAGCCAACTCAGATTTTCATCCTCCATGTCAACATTAATTGAGATGGAATCGACCCGATGTGTTAACGGATCAAAGTTCAGTGGGTAATGGAACGATTTTGAAAATTCAGTGGGTAAGCCATAACGTGGTGTAAAGTTCAATGGGCAATGAAACATTCAACTCGGAAACAGACTGATGTGTGAATTAATGATTGGGTTTTTTTTTTTTCCAATCCCGAGTCAACACGTGTCTCTCTAGGTTTTGAATCTGTCTCTAGGCCTGTTTATATAGCATGTTTGATAAGGAATTATTGCCACTCTATTTTAGCACTGAACCAAAAGAGGAGCAACGGACAACTAGACTTATCCTCATGGACCTGGTGATTCTGCTTATCAAATGGGACCCTCAGAGCAATTCGTTTTCCAATTTAAATTAACTTTGTAATTGTTTAGCACGGGTTAGTCGCTAACAATTAAAAAGGATCAGACGATTATGTAAGGAACAAATCTCTTGAGACAAAGTCCCAAAAAGGGGTGTTCTTTTATTGGCGATGACTTTACAATTGGAAATGAAAAACAACGTGCCTCCAAGGGGCGCAAGCACATGAGTTATTGAAAGAAAAGTGTTTAAATCTAAAAACTAAGGAAATGAAAATTACATGTTCTCTGTTCAAGAGTTTTGGATTCGGTTCTTTGCTTCTATGTCCTTTCTCCCTTTTATACTTCATAGACGATCTCTTTGTAATCAACTACTCTTAAAACTGCTTGATCGTCCTATAACTACCCACTTTCTTCGTAATGGCCATCTTGCCATGAAAACTGCCTTTTAATTGCTGCCATTACCTTTCATCGTTCAACTGCTTTCGATTGAATTCCTTGAATCGTGGAACGTGATAGGGCTGCTTTAATAACTGTTTTGATAACTGCACTTCTTGATAACCACGACGCGTTATGTTTGTTAATACCTTGGGCGACTTGGAGGTTTGGACGAGAATAGAGTAACAGCTCTGGGCGACTGTATGACACTCCATTCGCTCAGATTCTGGGCGACTTGCAAACTTGGGCGATGGCGTTACCGCGTTCTTGGGCCTCCTTATTTGGGCCTTCATCTTGATTTGTTCGATTGGGCTTCGTTCTTTGGGCTATCTGATTTGGAGATCCTCCAATTGGGCTTCACTCTTTGAGCTGTTCGATTTGTACTGAATTTTTATGTGTCAACAATTACCCCCCAATATGGCAGAATTAATAATAATTATTAAATTTTGCCATATTCACTTTGTGTTTCCAACAACATTCGAAATTTTCAAGAATTTCAATTATTGTTTTCTTCTATAACTTGAAAAGGTGGTGCGTTTTGCAAACCCTTATAAACCCCAAACACGCCATTTCATTGCTACCAAACCACGCCTCATATTTTTTGCGTCTCTTTAACGATTCACTGTTCATCTTTTGCTTCCCTGCTACGTAATCCTAAAAAGTTTCGTTCCTTCTCAAATGGCTATTTCACAATCTCAAGCTAGCGATTCCTTTAGTTTTGATGACTTTCAGAGACTTCTGAGTCGCCCATACATAACCCCAAGTTTTCTCGCGCCCGCCGACGTTGGACGTAACGAGTTTTACTTGGGTCCTTTCTTCAACAATGCGGAGGCAGTTGAACAGGCGGCGGTGGGTCAGCTGTTTCCTTGCACTCAGGGTCCTTCATTTCTGAACTCTCTACAGCTGGGGCCACTTCGCGAAAGAGGTATTCGCACTTGGCCTAAATCTGATGTAGCTTTTCGTAGGTGGCATGCTCGCCTTGTGGGTCATGGTCCTACTAAGGCACTTTTTGATAGCGCTAGGATTTCTGATTTGTTGAAAATCTCTATCCGCCCCCTACTTTTGATTCAGCACTCTTTTCAATTGCTTTGAGTTTTTGGTCTTCTGAGTATAACACCTTTATTTTCCCTCTTGGCCCCATGTCTATTACCTTAAGGGATGTTGGGGCCCTGGTGAATCTGCCACCTTTGGGCGATACCATTTTTCCTGGTATCTTAGTTTCTGGTGGCGCCCCAAAGTTTGGTAGAAACTACACCGATTCTTATTCAAACCTGCAGACCCTCCACAATCATTCGAGCGCTGAGCCTACACATACTGAGCGAGTGGCCTTCCTTTTAGTTTGGCTTTGTAAATATGTTTTGTGCGTGCCAAGTATAAAGCCCTCTCTGAGTTATTTACCTTTAGCGCACGAATTGGCGCGTGGCATGCCTTTGAATTTATGTTCTTTGTTTTTGGCTGCCCTTTATAGAGGCATGGCCTCTCTTCAAGCTCAATTGAAGAATGGTGCATCTCCCACTGGCAGTGGACCTCTTTGGTTCACTCAACTGTGGTTGAGATCCTATTTTCCATCGCTTGGTGCTCCATCCATTTCTCGCCCTTCTGCTAGCTGTTATGGGCTAGCCATGGAGCCCTTAACTCCTGTAAATATGTCCAGAAGGGACATTTTTTCATTCTTTTATTCTTTGGATTCAATCCCTTCCTTTTTTCCTTTTCCTCCTTTTTTGACTCCAAACTATGTACATCCCCCTTCCACTTTAGATAACGCAAGCACCTCCCTGCTCATTTGGATCCAGTTTTTAACTGGGAGGGAGCTATTTCATGATATTCTAACTGGGACCAATGGCAAAGGGGGGGTAGAGATTTATGCTCCCCAATTTTTTGCTCCTCGGCTTGGTTTTGGCAAAACTTGGCCTGTTCCTCCTTGCTATTTAAGGAACTTAGTTGACCGCTATTATACCATTACTAAGGCGGAGGCGGAGGCAGAGGCTATAGATGCTCGTAATCTTCTTTTAACCAGTCATTTTTCATTGGCCCCCTTCAATTCCAGCCACACCATTCACCCTCTTTTTGAACAACTCTGGCCGTCGGTAAAGCGCAGATTATTTGCGACTGATGCCAATCGTGCCTTTCATTCATTAGACCAACCGAGTATTTCTTCTCCTCCTCTTGTTTTGGTCACTCCTTTGTCTGTTCGGAGCCCCTCTCCTTCTCGTCGCACTAAACAGTCTGCTCGTCCATCTTCTTCTCTCTCTGCCAAGCCTACTACAGCCAAGAGTGTTCCAAGCCGCAAACGGCCAGCCTCAGCATCTCCCATTCTGGAGGATGATGTTGATGATGATGATGTCCCTCTTATCGTCAGGAGGAAGGTAATTAAATTGGTTTACTTACAAGTATACTTTTCCACATTTGAAACTTTTCTGTGTGCTGATGATCTTTTGGACTTTTCAGAAAAGCTCGGCCTCTCCTTCAAAGGCTTTGGCATCGACAACTCCTGCTCCATCATCCTTTGCTGAGGCTACTTCATCCAAACCGGTTGATGAGGGGACTACGCTTAAAGATACATTTTCATTCCCAGAGTCCTCATCACAACCCATGGATGAGCCACCTTCTTCCCAGGGCGTCAACCCCCCAAACATC